TGGGAAACCTTGTTTACTTCTTTTGGCGTATTGGGCCCAAAGATTACAGTTCCCGTAAACCAACCTAAACTACTCTTATGAAAAGTAGTTAGGACAAGATTATCTATATGCTTCTAAAGAAGGGGAGAGAAATCATGATTCTCCTCATGTTTTTGGCAACAGATTTTGCCTAAACAGCTTCAAAGAATTCTTTGTTTCATTACAATCTCTGATGATGATGGAGAGCTGCAGAAATGATTTAGCATCATGTTTGTGAGAAGTGTTAAATATGATGTAAACAGGGTTTTTATTTTTAAGACAGATACAAGCAAGAGGTTCCAGACTTAACTTTGCTGTGTAAGAATGGAAAGGGACATTGTTCAACAGAGCAGAAGCAATTTGAACTCTTATCAGATTATTTTTTACCTGATGTGGTCATTATCAGCATCTCTTCTTTTTCTTTCTTTTACTACTTATATATATAAAAGTGAGAATTCCTGCACATGCTATTGATATAGCAGTAACTTTATGTAAAGTTTATTTCTATGAATTACTATTGCTTAACTTAAAGTCTTCCAAATTTCAGTAATTCTAAAACTTTTAATAAAATTTTATCATTCAGATCTTCTGTAGATATAATTAAAATTATCTAATGTACAAAATGAGAAATATCTTTTCATGCTACCAGAGAAAGAAGAAAACCCAATACTCAACTTAGAAGAGATGACATTAAACGTAGAATCTCTTTCATGAACTTAATAAAAATACACAAACACCCTGGAGTACATGCATGTAAGAGACTTCAAATATATAAAACCAGGACATTTATAAAAGTGTTTTGACAGGAAATAACTGGATAGGTTTACAACCATTTCTAACTGGACTGCATTTATCTAGAAAGCCCACCAAGTAATTGCACATTTGCTGGAATGAAAAAAATGTGAGGAAATTGCAAAAGCAGTTTCAGCTACTGCAGGATGATTACAAATAAAATTCATTTATAATTTCAAATTTATTCCTAAAATGTACTTTAAGGAAACCACAAACATACATTAATTATATATATATATATACATACATATATATATAAATAATTGTTATATTGTGTGATAGTACATTTAGTACATCTTTAAAGAGTGAAAAATCTTTAATGAAAACCAGAGTTTAAGTGAGATCTTTGCATAAGATAATACTTCAGTCAATAATTTCCAATGCATCTGAATTTATCATAATCTTCTTTGTTTCCTTGCAACTGAATAATAAATTGTCTGATTTACTTTTATTTGGGTACATAAGAGAAGTGAAGCTGTGATACTGGTTTTGCAGATGCAACACTGAACTCTGGCCTATACTTTGATACACTGAGCAATAAAAAATAGCCAGGAGAGTATGTAAAGTAAGCCACAACCTTTAAAGAATAAAAAGCTTTCTTTAGCAATTTACTTTTCTACTTTTTGTGCTCATACCTTTCTATGCTTGAGATAATCTACTAGATAAACAAACTATGATCTCAGGGGAAAAGAGTTCCCTTAAACTTCAAAGGAAAGTGAAAATCAAATATCTAAAATAAAGTTTGGAGGTATATTTAAAATGCTGTCAGAAAAAAAAAAAAAAAAAAAAAAGTGTAGTCCGGGTCAGATTTAAAATATGCTTATAAAAAAAATTAAAAGCACCTTCCCAGTTCAGCAAAAGTGTAGCAATATATCTGCAGGAAGGCATCCGAAAAAAACTTTACTTAAACCTTCACATTAGCCTTTTCAAAGAATGTGTCAGCATTTGATTGGTCAACTTGTTCTTATTCTGAGATTCAATTTTCCTGCTGAAGTAGACTTACACAGGCACTTTGCAATTGCCCACAGTATTCTGTAAAGAAATGCAGCTTTCCTATGACATCACCTGACAAACACTGGAGATGCAAAAATATGGTACATTTGAGCAGTAGACCTTTGAATAGCCTTCACACAAATAAGAGAAGCACTAGTGACTTAAACTGCTTAAGGTTTTAATTTCTTATTCAGTACACTGTCTGGATTTTTGCCACTAGAATGACACTGCATAAAACTAATTATGATTACTGTGTTGTATGCAATAAAAACACTCTTCTTATAAGTACTCAATGATAGAAATTAGTAGAGGGAATACTAAACCTTAGAGAAAAGATCCTGAATTTTTCCAACAATTTCTTTTAAATGCTTTTCTTAGAAACTAAGAAAATAACAAATACCATGGCTTCTGCATTAACTATTTGCTCCAGCTGTGATTTCTATACACCAATAACAAAATGTAACTACTGTACTTCTTGTACAGATGGTCTTGACTCAGTGTTTATGTGAATCCTTGGAGAATGCAAGTGTTGATTCTCACATGTGCAGTCACTTCACAGCCTTTTTTTTTAAATATGCAAGGAATTGCTTTTGCAGAAATCAAACAAAGCCAGATATCTACGTTACTGCAAAGCACTTATAAGGCCAAACAAAACCAGAATTTAAATCCAGAATTCTGAACACTTAAGAGCAGACAAATATACATCTACATACATGCCTGGGTGGATTTTTCAAGAAAAATACACAAAACTATGCATGTATATGTTCTGAAAAATCAACAGATACTAGACAGTCCTTAGGTTGCATGAACTGCAAAATCTGTCTCAAAATGAACATCTGGAACATTTAAATCTTAAATCTAGAGTTGATCTTCTAGAGTCCCTGGGGACTAAAATGAAGGACTGACTGCATAAACATCTGTCCTTGTCTGGTAAAGGATTTATTTTCTTAGATAAATCCAAGCAAAATGGCATCTTGTACCAGCCATGATGTTAACAGTTTCTAGACTGTTAAACTTACCTTAGCCTAGGACCAAAAGTTCACTATTAATGTAAGTTTACCCAGAACTTTATGGTTATGGCAGTTAACTGTAGATGATTATTTTTGGATATTAGTAATTTTGGCACTCTTGAAGTATTTAAGATTTTCTCCAAATGCAGAGATCGTGTCAATATTTTTTTTTTCGCATGGTTTGACTGCTTGTTTTTTACCTTCTACCTCTCAAGAAAATTCTAAAATGTAAAGTAACAAAAGCATTAACAAAAAACCTTAGCAAACATTATTTCCCTTGCAGTGTCTTAAAAATTCATTTCTATATAGTATTTCTTACAAAAAAAAACAAAAAAACAAACAAACAACAAAAAAAAACCCCCAAAAAAAAAAAAAAAAAAACAAAAAAACAAAAAAAAAAAAACCCCCAAAAAAAAAAAAAAAAAAAAAAAAAAACCCACCAACAAAGCCAACCCAAAGTCCCCCACACAAGTGTGTGCTATAGAACCATTAGATCTGTCGGAATCAGGGTTCTCTCTCTAAAACATGAGTGTACCCTGCAGTGACTGCGTAGTTCTTTACCTCCTTAATTTTCACTTGGCAAGTAGCCCAAGCCTCTGCTTTAAATTTCCCACATGGTAGTACCAGTATGGCACCTGAAGAGTAATTAGTTGTAAGAAAGGGAATTTGAATCGTTTGCTGAGAAGGAAAAAAAATGTGCATGCCTAATAATGATTTTTTCCTTGAGTACCCGAAACACCCGTTATTTATTTTTGCTTAGAATGCACCACCCTTTAAATAGACCAGCAACCTCTTTTTTTAAACCTTCCATAAAAACTGAGTGATAGAAAACCAGTGTGGTTTTAAAGTCATGCTATTTTTATTTTACTCAGTCTTTTCTATTACAGCAGCTCTTATTTTTACCTAAATTTTGTCCCCCCCCCTTTTCTTTTTTTTTTTTTGGTTTAACAGTTCCCTGATAACAGCATATTCTATTTCATTTCTCACATTGCTCTTCAACAGATACCTAAGGAGTAGTCTTTTAGGAAGGCAAATCATGAAGACGTTTGAGAAATCAGAATATTTTCGCTAAATTACACATATAGTTCCCTCTTAAGTTTATACTGTCCATGAAACTTTATATTACAGTACCATTCGTGAGATAGGTAGATCTTCATTGGTTCCAACGATCTTGGAAACTCTTTTTAAACAATTCATTACACATACATAGTTATGCAAAATGAGTAACAGAAATGAAGTTTTCCCTCCTCTAGAAATTAGCAGTTCCCTAGTCCTAAGAAAGTGAAAAGTGCTGCTCCTGATACTGCTTCTGCCTTCTGTGCAAAGATAAAAACACAAAGAAGTTTGAGGGGGAGGGGATTTGATTTCTTTTTTAATGTCTGCCTCCTTCCAGCAAGTCCATCTGTTGTAGCACTATAATTCTGGAAGCAGGATATGTGTGTGACCAACAGGAGACAATTACTGCATAAGTGTTTGTTGATTCAGCTCTATAAAGGGCAGGCCAATCACTACAGTATGAACAGAAAAGAATTCCAGCTGAGGAGCTGCATATAGATTAACACAAAATACATATATACATGAGAATGGGGAAAAACAGAAAGGAGTAATAGCATGGAAAAGGATTAAGAAGAAATGAAGACTGAAGCAAAGAAGAAAGTTCGTGTCCTTGGGTTGTTAACTAAATACTAGTCTCTCTTTCCACAAACTTTGTTTTTTGGCTTTTCACCTTAAAAGAAAAAGATCAGATTAAACAGATATGGAACAGGTCTGAGTCTCCTTCAGAAGAAAACTCTAGTTGTCTTGGGATGTATGGAGACAGCACCTGTTCTTCACGGAGGAAAAGGTACTAGCTCTGGACTGATCAGATTCTGAGGAAGGTTGGCAGATCATAGGCTAAAAGTGAAACTTACCTCATTCATTTGAATACATGTAAAAAATCAGCACAAAGACCACTTTATTTTCAAAAGGATAAATTAACTGTGTTGATACACTAGCCTCAATATCATCTGTACATATAAGTGGCCCACATAAAGCATGGTAATATATAGTATCTCATAATTTTGACTACAATAAATTAAAATACAAAAAATCAGTGTTATCAAAATTTCACAGAATTGCACTAGAATTAAAGTGAACATTGTAAGACACTATAATGAAAAGTACTTTACCTCTATGGTCAGTTGAGACTTGAAGTCTCTGATCAGGCAAATGTAGCTGACTTGTTAATATGTCATTGGCTTGTATAACATTTTTAATGGAAGCCACTGTGGTCTTTTTTTTCCTCTGTACAACAGCTACCTGCTTCTACAGTGGCTTAATTTTTTCCTGCAGTAGAGTAACAGAGTAGCCCAGTTTCTGAATACTGGTATTTCTCCCTTTTGCTCTGTTTGCTGAACATAAAATGGCATATTACTAAATGAACAAAATCATCATAAGTAACATGATTTATGGTCTTGTTTTGGCGCTTCAAAACACTCCTGAAATTTCTAAAATATTTCTTAGTAAACATACTGGTAAATTAACAGCTGACCTATAAAAACATAAAACATATAAAACAATCAACATATAAACACTCCATGTTGTGCTTTTTCTTAAGTGGCAACAATGCAAAATCAACAAGGACTTGGAAGTTACATGTGTCTTGAATTTCTGATTAAGTTTATAAAAAATAAAGGCTTCAGTGTCTTGCTAACAGGCTGGGGGTTTTTTTAAGGTCTAAACCAAAACACTTTTAATTTGCTTCACTGGCTATGCTGGGTACAAGGGGCAAACATGAACAAAAGGTAATGAAAAACCTCCTATCAGTCAGCAGGAGGGACTTAGTAAAACTCACTTTAACTGTATGAAACGATGCTGTTTGACAGTCATTTATTATGTGAGAATTTCACCTTAAAATAATGAGCTAAATATCAGAAAATACACATACAAATTCAAATAAGTAAATCTTGTAACAGCCTGTCAGTGGGTTTGTGTACCAATTTAATAGGTATTAAATGCTCAGTATATATGTAAACACTTTTTATCAGGAAGACTGCAATATTTCTCCAGTTTTTTAAGTTTTCAGATTTCAATTTCTTGGTCATGTCATGCAACATAATTCTGGGAATATTCGTATCTAAAATAGCCGTTAAGCAAATTTAAAAGAGTAAAGACCATCACATTCTCTACTAACTGCACTGAACAAACTACTGACATTGCAGGATAAATTAGCCATGAATTCTAGATAAATACAATCACCACACCACTTGAAAGACCAAGAACTGAGCTCTCAGCAGATGACAAGCAAACAATCCACATGTGCAGCAAAAAGACTGAGATCTCCACTCTAAGCCACAGCTCTAAGAAATGTATGAGGTGTAAGAGAGTTACAGTAACTCTGCTGATACTGCACAGGGTGTTATATATTCCTACCAGGTGGAGAAAAAATGACCAAGTCCTTGTATCATAAATGGTCTAATCTCCAACCCCTTGCACAGCTCAAGACTTTGGAGATATCTTTAGCCTCTCTTTGTATGAGAATACACACCAGCAGGGTCCTTACATCCTCTGGATGGATTAAAGAATTCTGTTAAAACTGGTGTTCCCAACTGCTAATGCTAAACATTTGTGCAATACTTTCTTTCACACTCATAAACCATGTTTTCAAATCCTATTGTTTCCTGCAACAGGGGATTCTACTGAAGTACATTTAACCACTTAGGGCTCTCCAGACACTTCCTGAGTCTGCTTCAGTTCCACCAGTCTCTTACAAATGTCTACCAGAACGTATTTATCTTCTCCACTAGGAACAGAGAGTAAATGTAATACAGGCCCTACAGAAATTGTAGTGGCTGTGCCGTACTACCAAGCAAGAGAGGACAGTGTCCTGAGTTCCCTGCCTTGTATGTCCTCACTCAGGAGTAGGAGGAGATTAACAGGAGCAGCACACTTTTGTCAGATCATCATATATAGCATATGCAACCAATCATACTATGTTGTTATCAATAGATTCATGGGTAAGAATTTTCCTTCTTTTCAGTTTATTTGATCAAAAAATATTGATGAAATAACACCATCAAGAATATGTAACAAGACCACAGAGACTGCATTTGCACTAAAATTTTGGAAACTAAGGAAATATAATCTTTTTTCAAACTCTGTCATCATTCAAAATACTGAATTTCAAACTAGTTATCTAAAAGCAGCAAGTTGTTCAGTGTTTCAGTATTCTGTTTCTTAAACTAAGAAATAATAATATCTGCTTAAGCTTAAAATTCCATTAAGTGATTTATTTGCACAAACATAGGAGGGAAAATCTATTAGGCACTGTTAAAAAGTCCAAGAATGAGTCAATCTGTTACAGATTGTAGGGAGCCTCTTAAGACCTGGGACACAACCAGCTGGCCCTCTTCTGTGAGAAAACAGCATATAGATGTTAGCAATGAGACAAGCAGCTCAAATCCTAGACAATCAATGTAAATAGGCTAAGAAGAGGCTAAAAGCATACTTTTCTCAAGACAGAATCTTCTGGACACAGAGAGAGTCAAAAGTATCTTTCTAAGATGGAGAAACTTGTCCAGTGCACAACAAACGAACTGAGAGACATTTATGCTTGATTAGTCAGCACACCATTAGGCTAGAAGGGAGGTAGAGAGGGCTGTTACTATCCCCCTCTTATGGGTTATGTCAGCCTGCTCTGTATGGTGCTTCTGACTGACAGGAAGTTTAATGGGATGTCTGTGGAATTCTTTGTCTGGACTATGAGACAGCACCACTAGCTTGTATAGCAACTTTACATTTTTAAATCATCTTTTACATTCCTGTCCAAATAGTTTTATAGGTATATTTGGTTTGCATGGCCAGGTTTTGCTAGGGGGGGAGCTACAGGTGTGGCTTCTGTGAGAAGCTGCCAGAAGCTTCTTCCATGTCCAGCAGAGCCAATCCCTGGCAGCTACATGATGGACCCACCATGGGCCAAATAGAAATTATAGCATCTCTATGATAACATAATTAAGAAGGAAAAAAGTGATTGGGCAGACATAATTGTGGCCAGAGAAGAGCAGAGAGAGAACTTGTGAGAGGAACAACTCTGCAGATGCCAAGGTCAGTGCAGAAGGAGGGGCAGGAGGTGGTCCAGCAGGTGCTGGAGCTGAGATTCCCCTGCAGCCCGTGGTGCAGACCATGGTGAAGCAGCTGTGGCCTATGGAGGATCACAGGGATGCAGAGATCCACCTAAAGCCTGTGCAGGAGACCCACACCTGAGCAGGGGGTGCCTGACAGGAGGCTGGAGGCCCGTGGGAAGCCTGTGCTGGAGCAGGCTCCTGGCAGGGACCTGCAGACCCGGGGAGAGAGGAGTCCACACCAGAGCAGATTTCCTGGGAGGACTTGTGATCCATGGGGGACCCAGGCTGGAGCAGACTGTCCTTGAAGGACTCTACCCTGTGGAAGAGTGACCCACGCTGCAGCATGGACTTCCCACACTGGAGAAGTTCATGGAGCACTGTCTCCCGTGGGAGACACCCCACACTGGAACAAGGGAAGGAGTCCCCTTCCTGAGCAGTGAGAGAAAGAACGTGTGATGAACTGACTATAACCCCCACCATGCGCTGCTTGGTGGAAGGAGGTAGAGCTGGAAAGGAGGGAGGAGCGGGGGAAGCTGTTTTTAAGGTCTTTTATTTCTCCTTATCTTCCTTTGATTTTGTTAGTAAAAAATTAAATGCATATGTCTAATTCAAGTTTGTTTTGCCCATGACAGTGCTTGATGAGTGATCTCTCTCTATCCCTATCTCAGCCCAGAAACCCTTAGTTGCATTTTCTCTCCCCTGTCTAGCTGCGGAGCGGGGGTGAACAAGAGGTTTTGGTGGATGCCTGCCATCTATTCAGGGTGAATCCATGACAGCAGACTTACTGGTCAGAAAATATTCTAAAATATAATGAATGCACCCACTGAAAATCTGGAAATAGGTTTTCACTTCTATATTGAGAGTCAAATTGATTAAGAGTGCACAGCAGTGCTAATATTAAACTCCAAAAGTCCACCCACGTGAACAAAACAATATATACCTTTTTATTATATTGCTCATTTTGGATTTCTAAATGAAGCACACTGCAGGGCTTTTTTTCTTCTTGTTTACTTCTGTCTGGCAGGGGATCAGTGTTTTGGACTGTCTTCATAATCGCTGTTTCCAAACTTTCAGAAGCTGATATGTCAGAGTCACTATAGGAGCACATGCAGGAAAACAAAATACAAACAAACAAACCAAAAAAACTTCAAACAAACAAAAAACTCCTAAACAACAACCAAAAACCAAAACAAACAAACAAACAAAAACCCTAAAAAAACCCAAAAGGAAAACATTAAACGCTCCAGCGTTAATGCATAAGCACATAGAAATAAACTTTACAAATACAATAAAGCAAAAATCTATCTCTGAAACTATTTTATCAAGTTCTACTCTGTCAAATGCAATCTCACTCTACAATGCAGAGGCCTGAGACTTCAGCTGCTTCTAAAAGACAACTTTTGTGACAATCCACAGAAGTGAAATAATGAAATATTTGATTAAATATTGAATGATTAAATATTTCAATAATGAAAGAAATGAAAAAATACTTTCTTGTACTTCTAGTATGTGAACAGCTTATAAACTACTATATTTCCACTTTCCTTCATTTTCACATTTTATTATATAACAAGTAAATACACAATCCTTAATAACATTTTGTTTCAATTGAACTTTATTTATATTGTTGACTGAGACAAACTCAGAAATCACACTTCAGGGAAAGCTCTATTTAGCACCCCTTTGGAATGCTCTTATATTCTGCAAACCTGTTATTCCTTTCACTGAGATTCCTGCCATGTAGAGAAACTGGACCTGAAACTAAATCTTCTTACAATTTTTCCTTAGAATAGCATTCAAGGTGCTCCTAATTTACAGTGTTTCACTGCCTTACCCCACGTAATCAATTGCTTTCTTATTTTCAGGGAAGTCCACTTTAAAACGTGAAGTCTTGGATATATCCTCTTCTATAACATCAGGGGCCATATATCATTTGTGTGAGCGGATTTGTGAAGGGATCCCTAAACAGAAGGCTAGTTTGATTTGTTACTTTTTAAACCAAGGTATTTAAAACAGCACAGCTGAGTTCAAGTTAAGTTACACCATCATAAAAATCCATGTTTTAGAGGTGCAGTTTACATAACCAGAGAAAAGGCCTCAAACTGATGAGGAGTCCACACATAAACATGTTTATACTTTTTAAAACCTGTCCTGACACATTGGTATGTCTCACTGATTGATGAGAACTGTTGTACAGCCACAGAGATATTTCTAACTACATACACATTTCCCTCACCTGCTTTAAGGAATGCCCTATTTAGAAAATGGAAGGCTTGCATTTAAAAACTGAGAGCCAGCTACTAGTAATAAAGAATGGTATTTATTGAAAAGCAGAAGAGGAAACTAAATTAGGATAGTTCCCTAAGATGTTGAGAATGACATCTTGAAACTTCAACAATGTTCACTGTTCTACGACAAGAATTCCCTAACCCAACATTTGTACAATTATTAAAAGCAGTATTTATGGCTAGCCACAAGTGAAGCTATGCAAATACTTTTCATTTCAAACTAAAAGTGGAATGACAATGTGCTTGCTCAATTTTTTTCTTAAAGAGAACAACACAGCAAATTAAATACTCACCAATTACCACATGCATACATGTTTCCATATGTGCAAACATGTATGTTTTTTATTAAAATCAGATCTGCAATATTTAATTATACATAAAAAACCCCCTAGCTTTACATTAATGATAACAACTGACTAATTACATGGTTCTTAATTTGTTTTCTCCCTTGAGATACTGTGTTCAGGAACCTCTTATTTTGAATGGAGAGAAGTAGTAGAAAGGCTTCATTTGCCACTATTCATTTGCTCCATATGACACATTGAGTATAAAGCCTATGAAGACAATTCTATTTTCTTTACTCTTTTCCCATATTTCTTGTATCTTGGATAGATACAGGCTTGAGAAATTTCTTTGCTCGCCTCTTAGAACAATGTCCTGAAAGACAAGGTGTGATAGCCATTTACCTAGTGGCTAACTGCTGCCTCCTCAAGTATATGGGGACATAATAAAGAGAAGCAAAAATTCTCATTGTTTATATGATGTTTGCCAGTGGAATTTTCTGAGAGCCTTTTGATTCATGACTGGGATTGTATGTGGTAACCATCACCTTTAAAGATTTTTAACCATCATTCAATTAAAGTTAGTACAATGACTGCATAAAACATACAGGAAATAATTAGTGTGGATGGTTCTTAATTTAAAGGATGTTAAACAGCTTGTAGACATCTGCTAGCAAGCTGAAATGGGTCATTCAAAATTTATCTAACTAAATTAAGGGGAAAAAATGTTTCTCCTCCCGGGTCGGCATGTCACAAGATAACTAAACCGACTTACTAGGCTTGCCTGGGAATCCTTAGCTGTCAGTGGTGAATATGCAAAAGGCCAGCAAATTAAATCAACCTGCCAAACTGTCAATTTCAAGCCTCATGACTGCATGAAAATAGCATCACTGGAAGAAATCAAGCATTGCCTTCTTTTGGGTTTCCTGGCACCTATTCAAATACTCATGCAGTTGTGGCTAATTTCGCATGCAAATTTCAGTCAATAAGCTCCGAACAAGACCTCCCAAGGTATTTCAAAGGATCTGACAGTATTTTTTTTGAATACCAAATCAACAGTAGTTGAAATTCAATCTCCATTTGCTAGTGCTTTACATATGCACAGTGTCCCCTCTACAGGGCTAAGTTAATGAGAGCGGTACCTGCTTTCACTCACATCCTCCCAGCCGTCCTTACTGAAGTTCTCAAACACATTACTCATAACCTTGATGGACTGTTTGAGAAAAGCTCCATGATGTCCCAAAGAGCTCTTTTTCTTGGCTGTTTTTAATTTAACCTTGGTGCCTGTTATCTTGCAATTACATTGCCCAGAGATTGCCACTGCTTTGGCTTTATCCAGCAAACACTTCTGTTCCTGCACTTGACTCAGCAAATCTTCACTTTCATTTCTCAACCTGTTAGCTTCTGTCACTTGCCTCTTCAAAGAGGCAGCTTCTTTTTCCTTCTCATCAATCAAGAACTGAAGTTCTGCTTTTTCTTTTTTTACCTCACAAATCCTCTTATGCAGTGTTTCCAGCTCTCTTTTTCTTGTGTCTGCAGCTTCCTTTTGCACTTTCAAAGATTCTTTCAAATACATTTTCTCATTCAATAAGTCTTTATTTACTTCTTTCTGTTTCTTTAATTCCCCTTCAATAGTTTTGAATTTTCTTTCTAGTTGTTGTATCTAAAATAAGCAATTTTAGCATTTACAATATTTCAGCCTGTCTTGAATAACTGCAAACTATGTTTTCAGATATATTTATTATATGACAATAATATCACACGAAGAGCAAGGACAAAAGCTATCTGCAGTCCTTAAATTTAAAATAATTTTAAAGTAGTGCAGACTAAAACATCTTAGCTGCAATAATACAGCTGTTGAGCAAAGGGCAGATGGTAAAAGAACTTAAATTTCCAGGCAAAATGACACAGAAGTTTAAGTATGCCATGCTAATGAATCTTCCTGATGCATATTGAGCTCATTACTGATTTTGTTATACATACTAATTGAATTTTAAAAAACATTTTCAGAAGGATTACTACTTTGAAATATAGACAATTTTGTACTAGCTATCTGAAGCAACAAGTTCTTTCAAGTGTCATAAACACAGAAATAAAATATTAATTTGAGCTTTCAAAAAACCCCAAATTCTAGCAAGAGATATCAGCAACTCAGCACCTAAAAATATGGAAGCTAGTATGTGTTTTCTATTTACAGAAAGGAAAAATCTACTGTGTTTCAATTAAGAGACTAATTTTCCAAGTTCCTCACATAAATTTTGAAGAAGACACTATTCAACCTACGTTTTCCTTCTCAAGTACTTTGAGGTTTATGGATATTGAAGTCTATTAACAATAAACTGACTCTCTGTGATGTTCTGGACTATCCACATAAAGGACAATTTCCAGAAATAAGGGGCAATTTTATTTTAGCAGATGCTAATGTGATTATTAGTCTATGAGACATCCCCAGAAGCCTGGAAAGGACATCAGAGGAAGTTTTGTGCTCAGTAACCACTTACTCCAATACCTGGAGAAATATTTTCAGATGGTTTTGTACAAGCTCAATCCCCACTCTTTCACTAAGGAATACGTCAGGGATTCTGGGTTTCTCTGCACATTGTTAGGAAAGACCGTTTTTCCACGAGCTATACTAGCATGTGCATGGCTAACTTGAACTCCCAACCTTGTAAAATACTGGCCAGTTCCCACAATTTGTAGCAATACAAACTGTCAAAATTATCTTTGACACTGAAAATACTGAAACCATATTATTTCTGTAAGTTTTTACTTTTAGGTTTTTACAACAATGTTTTGCCAACACTTAAAATATTTTAAAATTTATGAAATGTTGTACAAAGTGGGTACTACAGATATGATTCAGATAAATGGGAGCTCTTGATGTACACGGCAAATTAGGACAAGAGCTGCTCAAACTTCATATGTATTTGTGAATTCGATACTGAATTCGTGAGTTTGATAGGAAATCTTTAATATGAAGAGACAATACATTATGGCTACATAAAGTTAATGGGTGAAATTAGAAATTAAAGGGATTTTTTTTCAAATGCTTTAGTGAAACAAAGCGTTATAATTAAAATCATAGTTTGCACCTTCCACCCCTATGACAGTGTGTTAGACCAATATCTTTCTTCAATCACCTGCCTAAACTGAGATTTAGCTACTATTTTCTCAGTTCTTTAAAGGAACCTTTTGCACTCAGTAGCACTTAAAGTCATGTATGACAGCTGGAAGGAAATAAACAATAAATAGCTTCTACACCTATCCCTAAGGTATCATCATAACTCTGTATATCCATAGGGATAAAAATTATGCAGTACCTGGCAAACAAAATTATAGTTCTGAAATATAGATGATAAGCAAGCATAAACTGTGACATTTCAGATGGTAGTATTCATATTATTTCAATTACTCACTCTACCTTAAGATAAATGAATGTGAGCACTTCCTATTCTGTGTGTTATTATTTTAACATGATGTTTGTCATTCAGTAATAACGAGATGACAGCCTTCATTGCCTGACCATATGGCAAGCGTTACAAGTATATGCAATCACATCATCTGCTGTAAATTACCATACTTCCTACAAGTTAATTCACAGATAAAAAATAAATAGACATACCTGAACTGACATCCAAAGTTATAGATTTGTGTTTATTCAATTTAAGCATGCTTTTAAAGATTTATAAGTAATTAAACAAATAGTTTTGCAAAATGACAAACAAAAGGCATGATACTGTTTGAAGGATGACTTTTCTTTGCAAGCAAACAAAACATATGGTAAAATACAAGTGAGCCCTCTTAAGTGAACACCTGTTAACATAGTAAACTACTTGTGTATATTACAAATATCAATACAAATATCAACTAGTTAAGAACATCCCGTTACTGTATGAGGCAAAATCTGTAGAATGTTAAGCAGTAAAGATAAAATACTTATCATTATTTGTTGAGCTAGAGAACACTGCATGCATATAGTACTATCTTGTAAAAAGAGTAATAGACCCACATACACAGAAAATATTTGCACATGAAACATTGTGCTAAAATTTAAATACAACAAACAGTGAAATTATGCATCAGTTCTATTATGTAGAGGAGCTCTATGGAGATTAACACCTGATATCATCTAAAGTTAAATACCCAGCAAAAAAATTAAGGTTCCCAAAGTTAAGGGGCAAAATTCGAAGTTAAGGGACAAAATGCTACTTACAATTTAGATAATCTGTTAGCTTTTAACATTACACCCCTAAACACTCTTTTCATTTTTTCTGACATTACCCATTTTTATCTTACATAACATTCACAGCTATTTCCCTAGAATTAATTTCAGAGCAAAATTCCAGAAAGCCATATTTTTAAATTTTGAAGGAAAATGATGTCTTAAATTAATGAGTACTGATATTTACACATACATACATACATACATACATAAATATATATATATAATTCTTATATTAAAATTTAGATCTGTTTGTTGGGGTTGGTATCTTACCTTCTGTAGCATCTCATGTGAAACTTCTCTCATATACCTCTTTGGAGTATTACCCTTGACCCCATCATCTTCACTAAGTTTAAAAAGTGACTTGATCAGAAAATAAATGACACATCTCTATCATATAATAAGTAAAATACATAATGACACCTAGTATTTCACTAAAACAATCCACAGACATTTTAAGGAAATGCATTCTTTACTTCTCTAATTATTTATAATGTGGTCTATTTTCTTGACAAGCTTTTTGGTCAGTTTCTAAAGTGACCTCTCTTCAAAGTGTTCTGTCACATAATTATGAATCTCTGTAGCATCACAGTATGTTTTTTTTTCTGAGTACAAGCTTTTCAAAGGTACAATAGATCTGCAGGTTAAAGACACTGTACTTTCATTCCAATTTTTATTCTTTTACAGACTATTCCCTCTATGCCTTAAAAGCAGAATTCAATGCCGTTTTATCTACACAGTCACTATCAGTTTTGTTCTCTAGGTCTTGTCCCCTGCTAGGAGGATCAGAGTGATTGGTGAACAAAGCAAACAGTAACGGAATTAGGATGGATGAAAACTTTAAACCCTGGTTTTTGTTAAGTTAAAGATCATGTACTTCATGAGATAAATCACACAAATCATTCTACTGAAATACTGTGAAACCATAACAATTAGAAATTGATACAGCTAATGACAACTGAAACATATCTAAGCATCACTGTCAGAGACAGCTATACACTTTAGATACTAAAAATCCCAAGTTAAAAATTAGACTTATTCATTACAAAAATGTTTAGAAGTACCAATATATATGGTCAATCTGAGCTTAGCATTCACAAATTGCCCACTGCTCATAGAAATGAGCAATTACACACATCAGAAGGATTTCATCTTAGAATATGAAATACTGCATTACAGAACAAAAAAAATCCCAGTACTCTAAAAGCACCACAATATTAGTATTTCTTTTTTGGTCCTTCTTTCCCCCAAATGAACTTAAAGAATTAATCTTAAGGGATACATATCTGTGCTACATAGTGGAGGTCTGCTTTATAAGTAACATTTTAAACTACAAGCAGACATTGCAGGTCACTTAAAAACTTTTTGATTTATAAACAAAGCAAGTGTAGAAGAAAACAGTGTTACTCTCTGTAGATTCACAATCCTCTTGATATAAACAGTGACTAACAAGTTTGTTAGAGTGAATTAGACCTTTCTTTTGTCTTTGGAACATGTCATGGCCAATTAATACTTCTGTATTCATGAAATAAATGGAACACTATTCTAAAGATAATAAAAGCTGAAAAAGGTAAAACTATGCATCTGGGGAATATGTACCTTTACCTTGATATTAATATGTTAGTTCCCATGTTACTTCAGACTACAGTCCCCCAGCACAGTGGTACTGCATACATTTAGAACATTCTTTAAGTAACACACAAAGATAATACGAACATGCTTTTCATCTTTTTCTAAATATTCACTCATTTGAATGCCTGTTGTAGCTTTTATATCAGCATTTACTGTACTCCACTGAAAAGAAAAATTATTTCCCATAGTCAAAGAAACTGATCAAAGCACACAAGGTGTTATGTTTATTATGTGGATGTATTAAAATGCAATTTAAAACTCTATAAATAGACATATTATATGCAGATAATAAAGAATACCACTGCAAAAGGCATAGAAAAGACTATACATGTTCAATATTATCAAAGAAGATACAAGCAACATAAATTGAAGTGTAGCCAAAGGTCACTGAAACTTAACCCTTTCTATTGAGCAGAAAATATATGGCCCATTCAAGCCTCTTTTTCTCTCCTCCCTTCTAATTGTTATGTAATTGTTCGTAGGAATTGGTTAGGGAGGCAGTGAAAGAGCATCACCTGTAACTGTCTGTCTAGAATAGCAGAAAGATATATCATATCAGCCTACTCAGCAAGACATGCTCTACTTGTCATATTTCTACATAAAAAAATAACATCTCCCTCAAGGAACAGACCCACAAGTCATAAAGCCAACTATCTTCAGTCATCAAATTACCATGGTCTTACATAAGCACAGTTACATCCCACTGAGAAAACATAGTTAACTGTTAGCCTTAGAACGTAAAACAATTCCTAATTAATAGTCACCAAATCTGACGACAACTTAGTTCAACACTGCTGCCAAAATGGTACTTGAACTATGAAACTACAGTACAGTACAGTATTTGCAGAAAGCCTGCTTACACAAAGAAAAAAACCACCCCTTTAAAAAAAAAAAAGTACACAATAGAGCACTGTAATAGTCATTTACAAAGAAACTATAAAAACCATCAAAGGAATGACATTTTTGCCTACAGTACACACCAGGTGAAGTATTTCCCTAACAAAAAAAGGCTCCATGATGCACAAAGACACTGTGTTACCGATTTCAGTGGTAGGCACTCATGTTTCTGGGTAGAAAGAAACTTCTGGTGGGAAACACCAGGGTGAAGACCAGAAGGAAATGCCACTCCTATGGATACATATACTGAGGACATAGTATATTCAGGAGTCTCATAGTAAAAGAAGCCTTCAAACTGCCTCCTTGGAGAAAGAGCAGGCCAACAGTTTACTGCTTTTAAAGAAGGCATTTGCTATTTTTCCGAATAGGATTTGATGGGTCCACTCTCCTGCTTTTGGAGGAAATGGCACGACTACCTGCCAACACATCCTTTACCTTCATAAACAAATACGGACATGAATAGCACAAACAGCATGAATAGCAGTGTGTTTGATGACTACCAGTAAATAACTGGGCAACAGAATAAGAATGGAAAGAAATTGGGAATAGCAGGAACAGAATTTTCTTTTCCCTTGACCTACTTCATCTTTGACCAGGATTTGAGGATTTGAAAAGTAGTATGGAAGGACAACAAAACTATTCATTACTTCTTCCTGACAAACACAAGTGATATCCAATAAAGACAGAAAATTTTAATACAGGGAAGCTCTGTCTCTTTTTACAGATTTTATCCCTTGATTTTAGAATGCCTGATGAAAACAGGTACCTATCTGCTAAGGTGAAAGTGAATTCCAGTATCACTGATAAACTGAGGAAACTGACATCAGGTTTCCTTTTATAAAATACAACATACTGAAATTATGAATGAACTGTATTTAGACCATATCAAGTTTGGACTCCCAACAAATTATTGATATGAGGTTTTATTTTTATTTAGGAAGAAGGCATTTAACCCCCTTTTTAAGGGGGAAGACATGCACTTTCTGAGAACATGAGCAAGGATTTTTAACATTACACTAATTTATGCTCAAAGATAAGACATCCAGCTTCACTCATTATGGTGCAACTTTCTAGAAAATCTCAAATAGTACATGTGTCATGACTGTAACTCCCTTTGATTTTCAAGGGGAACAATAAGGAAATTACTTTTTAGAGACCTTGTGAGCAACTATTTCCTTACACTTCAATTGGTAAAAATTTGGAAACAGCTAGAACAATCTTAGTCTTCTGTGCTAACAGGAAAGTTTTGTTGATACATATCTTTGGACTTGAATCTTATTAGACATTTCCTTTTCATTAAATGATATCCATAACAACACAAACTGGAAAAGGTAAATAAAATTTTCCTAGAACAATTTACAAGTAGTTTAAACATTTTTCTTAGTCCCCAGAAAATAATAGCTAATCATTATACTAATTAGCAAATCAGAAGTGTGCATTCACCCACAAATTTTTAAAAGAGCATATGGTTACCTGAAAAGAAAATGAAAAAAAAAAAGAAAGAAAATACTAATTGTTAAAGCACTAAACATGTCAAGAACTGGCAGCTCTGCAGATCGGACTGTTTTTTGGCAACGTCCAGATATTGCTCAGCAGGCCCTTAACTCCTTCTCACCACTGGTTATCTTCCCCTTCTCTTTCTGCAAAGACCAACTCAACTGGAAAAAAACAAAGAAGTGCTTCTTAAAGTCAGCATTTAAACCTTCAATTCTGTGGCTATGAACACAACATGAAAGAAGTATTAAAAACGAAAAAGGTAACTTTCAGTTTTCAGCAGCTTGATATTCCTGCCTAATTTTAAAGACACAATTTTAAAGTTAAGGAAAAAAGCTATATTTTTTTCATTCAAGTGGTCAACATTATCACAAAAAATAGAACACAGCCACCAGGAGAAAACTGCAATAAAGAATGGTAAAGCTTTATTGCTAAGAATGGGTAGAGTATTTCTCCAAGTCGCCTACTTACTTCCTTTGCACAATAAAGAATAAAGAAGCATAAAGAACTCACCACAGATGCAATATCCAGATGGACTGTAGTTATGCACTCTTGAATATTTCTCCCAGACTATTCAGGAGCAGCTCATAATACACAGAATCAGAGGAGTGATGGAGAGGCAGTGGTAATATATTACCCATCTGATTGACAAAGACTCATCTTCACAGAACCATCAACTATTATAAAATTATAAAGATAGAAAAGAAGATACTTATGATCAATTCTTACAATTTCAGCATTTTGATTTACTTTCAAATTCAGATATTTTGTGAGACTAGAATTAAAAGAGAGGTCTGAATAAGCATGAAATTTCACTATATTTCATAAATAGGTAGAATAGACATATTAGTTGCAAATGTATAATGTGTATCTATTCATATAAATGGTCAGACTGATTAGACGTGTAGAGAACTAATGAGCAAATATGCTTTCAAATCATATGTATGGCCATATCATTACAAAATACACAGTCATGAAAAGGAAATGAATCTTTGGAGAGAAAATAACCTTATGTAAATAATTAGTATTCTGACAGACTATTGTATTGGGTTTGAGTGGCCAGGTTTTGGTAGTAGGAGGGCCTACAGGTGTGGCTTCTGTGAGAAGCTGCCAGAAGCTTCTTCCATGTCCAGCAGAGCCAGTCCCTGGCAGCTACATGATGGACCCACCGCTGACCAAGGTTGGCCCAATCAGAGTTGACAGTAACATGGTAACATAAATAAGAAGGAAAAAAAAGTGATTGGGCAGACATAATTGTGGCCAGAGAAGAGCAGAGAGAGAACACGTGAGAGGAACAACTCTGCAGACACCAAGGTCAGTGCAGAATGAGGGGCAGGAGGTGCTGCAGCAGGTGCTGGAGCTGAGATTCCCCTGCAGCCCGTGGTGCAGACCATGGTGAAGCAGCTGTGGCCTATGGAGGATCACAGGGATGCAGAGATCCACCTAAAGCCTGTGCAGGAGACCCACACCTGAGCAGGGGGTGCCTGACAGGAGGCTGGAGGCCCGTGGGAAGCCTGTGCTGGAGCAGGCTCCTGGCAGGGACCTGCAGACCTGGGGAGAGAGGAGTCCACACCAGAGCAGATTTCCTGGGAGGACTTGTGATCCACAGGGGACCCAGGCTGGAGCAGACTGTCCTTGAAGGACTCTACCCTGTGGAAGAGTGACCCACGCTGCAGCATGGACTTCCCACACTGGAGAAGTTCATGGAGCACTGTCTCCCGTGGGAGACACCCCACACTGGAACAAGGGAAGGAGTCCCCTTCCTGAGCAGTGAGAGAAAGAACGTGTGATGAACTGACCATAACCCCCACTCCCTGTCTCCATGCGCTGCTGGGGGGAAGCAGGTAGAGCTGGGAAGGAGGGAGGGATGAGAAGAAGGTGGTTTTAATATTCGTTTTTACTTCTCCTTTGATTTTTTTAGTAATAAATTCAATTAATATTCCCAAGCTGCGTCTGTTTTGCCCATGACAGTGCTTGGTGAGTGATCTCTCTCTATCCTTATCTCAGCCCATGAACCCTCCATTATATTTTCTCTTCCCTGTCCAACTGTGGAGGAAATTGATAGAGAGGCTTTGGTACCTGCCTGGCATCCAGCCAGGCTCAACCCACTTGAAGTACATACACAGATATAAAATACTATACCCTTCCTTTTTTGCTGTAAGCATAGTTCCTGTATTGTGAACTTACTCACAGATTGTTGTATTTTCATCTGATCCAATTCGTCCTCAAGATTCAGTCTACAAAAGGGGAAATAAAAAAAAATAGGCACAATCACACAGATGCCACTAAAATAATTTCAAAAATTAATCCAAACCCATACCAATGTATTACTGGGAATAAAGTTGTCAACACTCAGGCATTAGTTCTAATTTGACAACACTTAGCATTACTTCAAACATAAAGAGTCCTTTGTACAACAGCTTTTTAAAGTATGTAAATCATCTGAATTTCCAAAATTCAGACACAATGCTGATTGTAACATACACTAAGAAGTTTCAGCCCATCTTTTTTAGGCAAGAAAATATTTGAGATTAAAAGAAGACCAGTAGGAGGTAGAATCCTTTTAAGAGGTAGACAAACACTCTGTCTCAGGGGAACTGCCAGCCAAAGTTGTGAAGATATGTCTTATGATCTAGCAACTATTCAATAAACTTATTAACAAAATCATTCCTCCCATTTTCCAGCCCTGATGGACTACCATATTACTACCATAGTTTATTCTGTAATATTAACCAGCTGAGCTCTGCACAATAAATTGAATTACTCTTTTTCAATTTAATAAAATTACATACAAACAAAGTTGCCAGGATAGCAATACTAAAGTTTCAAAGTCAAATTGGAAAATATTAGAAAGAAAGACATTATTTAAATTCTTTATTTATACTTGTGATTTCTGACACATTCTCTGTCTATATAGCTGTACACTATTTCAGCAATAAAACCCCCCTTGTTTCAGCCAAAGATCATACAATACACAGAACAGAGCACAGTCATTAAATAGGCAGCTTCTACTTAAAATAAAAATGCATTTCATGCACAAATACACATTATTCTGTCACTGTTGTTAAAGTTTGACTGCTAGTATTTTCACTTATTTCACTTGTACTACAAACAGCAGCACCTCCTTCAGAGGAAATTTATGCTTTTCCCTACTTTCCCCTCCGAAATAAGGCACAAAAAAAAAATCTGGCCAAAATATTTGCCAACTTAAGAAAAGGACTTCAAAAAAGAAGTCTTTTGGTACACACAGTACATTAAAGCACGTTGTAAGTCAAGTGCACCTCTGACTCAGCTGTAAAACAACTTACAGAGAAAATTGTAAACATGAAAAGTTAAAGTAACTTGCTTTGCATGACACGTAAGAAATCCAGCTATTTTTTGAATCACTCATCTGCCTTCACAGGTTGATTTTCTTTACTGTTCTTCCATCCTCCAAAACTTAGTCATCATCAGCTTCTGTTACACAGATGACAGTAGCTTTTGTCTTCACACTGTGTTAACTCGTCACAGCATGTTAGCTTTTTGCACTGAATGGCAAAATATTTCCTTGAAAAAACCTTATGTAATTAAAGATTGAAATCAACATGACATGGTTCCTGTCTGAACCTCTATCTTCTGAATCAGTTACTTTTCAACTTTAAAATCATTATTTGAATGAACACAGTATATATGTTTATGAATATATATACTGCCTCTCTGGACACTAATTGACATGCAATAGTGATTGTACACTATTTTTAAGAGTGAACTTCTACATATATCTTTTTTCTTTCAGCTGATGAAAGACATGCAGAAGTAAACTAATTATATTAAACAATTAAGGGGAAGTTCATAGTCAGAATAACTGAAGTGCCTCCAAATATATTAATTCATATATGAAATAATCTCCAACTGAACTTATGATACATCTAAGATGGAAAAATTTTAGTTAAGTCCAAACCAAAAACTTCTATGTGCAATACAAGATTCAACCTACCCAAGTCAATGACTGGCTTCAGTTATAAATGCCCACATGGGTTAGCCAGTGCCAAGTCCAACCATCAGCAGTACTATATCTCCCACAGAGGCAAAAGCAGATGCTACTCAAGAAAGACTAGAAGCCTAACAGTTTGTGAAGTGTGATTCCAATTTTTCATCCTGGAAGTGGCACATAAGTACTACTCTTTATTTCTTCTGCTTTAACTGGTTCCCTGTTGCTAAAAGGACCTTTCCTCCAGAGCAAAAAAAAATTCTTTACAACCTTTCACGTGGAGCTTTGTTAAAGGCAATTGAAAAAATACAGATAGGATTACTTTTACCACACAGTTGTTGTCACCCTTCTGCAATTCCAGCAGGATTTTACTTTACAGGAGCGACATTAATGCTTCCCCAATAAAAGTGTGTTGATTTGTGCTTAGTGATAGTTCTCTTTACCTTTACCGTGCTTTTTTTTTTTTTTTTTTTTTTTTTTTACTTTCTCCCTTTCACCCTCTTTTTCCAAAAGACTGACTACCATCTTCAATGTATGGAGGCAGACACGTTACTTCAGCTCCCTCTGGAGCCCATTCTGTAGATGGAAGTTATAGTGGCAACCTGCCAGTCCATTGGCTGTTAACAGTTAGGTTAGAGTAATTTCATACTTCAGTTTCTTCACACCTCCGTGAGTGAAGGATATTAACTACTCTACTTGACCTCATCAAGTAGAGTACAGATACTTCAAATAGGTCTAATGCCTTTGATCTATCTGCTGCAAAGCATACACAAGTTGTTGGCATCTTCATCTTTCATTTAGCATAGAAACATACAATCACAGCATGGTTTGCATTGAAAGATATCTTAACAATCATTTAATATGAAATACTGACCAAGGAAAAGACTGTTCTTTTAGGGCTTGAAAACGCAATATATCATTTTACACTGTTATCATTCAGCAAACCTGTGAACTTCCTTATTGTTGTCTTTTTCACTCTATTTAAACAAAATTTTACTGTAACAGCTTAAGCTTTGAAAACCAGTCTTCAAAAGACTTTTTAGGCTTCTCAACTTTCCACCTGCATTTGTCCTGTCTCTGTTTACTGGTCCTACCTGTTTCTCAGCAATGCAAACTTAAGTTTTAAATGCTGACCTTTTCCATTTAAGAGCCATAAAAACTTCTACAGTCTCTAGAGAGAGCTCCTTAAGACTCTTTGGGGGCAGGGGATAGTTTGGAACTATTTTATCTTAACTTTTTCAAACTGTAGCACATATTTCAGGTGGGTTTCACCTACAATATCTCTCTTAACAGTCTCCAACAAATGTTTCTTTACTGCTTGCTCTAGTGTTCAGGGTTTGAAGATTTTTTTGATTAGTTGTTTCATTTTCATTTTATGGTTTCCTTTCTGGACAGTAAGCATCCCTAGGCCAATTGATTTGGTCCACTCCCTTCTGGTATTATTTAAATTAAAACAAACAAACAAAAAAGTTACATAAACCCAATAAAGGCCTTCCTTCTTTCCCTAGCAAAGTCACAGAGCAAATCATCCTGGAAATAATGTCCAGTCACCTAATAGACAAGGTGACTGAAAACAACTAGCACACATTTACCATGGAAAAATCTTGCTTTACCAACCTCACTACATTTGTAAGACATGACCAGCTGTAAGAATGAAGGGAGAGGAGGCATATACCTTTAATTTGGCAAGGTATTTGAGATGGTCTCTCATCTCGTTATTGCCAAAGATTTGAGATCTGAATTGAAAATTAGCTAAGGTGTCTGTAAAATTGGCTGAACTGTTAGGTTGAAGAGGTGATGACCTGTCAACTGGTAGCTAGCAATTATAAGCTTTCCTCAGGGATCCATTACAGAGCCAATATTGCTTACTGTCTTTATTAACAACCTCAGAGTTATGCTAGAGCATCTCATAGCAAGTTCATAAATGATATAACTCTGAGGGAAGCAACTGAGAGCTCAGTAGAGAGCTGGACCACTGCTCATTGAGATTTCACAGGAAGAAAAAAAATGGCTGATGGGAACTTCATGAGGTTCACTTAAGGCAAAGTCCCCTTAGAAAAACTTTGAAAGAGGAGATGCTAAAAGACCAATTGGCTCAAAAGCAGCTTCGCAGAAAAAAAATTCGGTCCTTTGAACCAATATGACAAACATTAGAACTGACATGACTTTGTGGTGAAAGCTAACTAGATGCTAGCTGTATAGGCAGGAGTCAGTAATCAATTTACAGAATTAATTCAACTCAGCACTTCTGAGATGGCATGTGCGGCTGTGTCTTGCTTTAGGCTCCTTCAAGAAAGACACTTACGTAAACAGATTAAGTGTTTAAAAGGGGCATCACAATGGCCAAAGTTTAGCCATCTGTTTTATGATGACAGGATGAAAGAAAACTTCTGACTATCAGTACCTGCTCCCTTCTATCCTGAAAGGAATTCCTTTATTGCAGGACCATTCTTGGTACAAGAGGATATTATCACATCAGTTACAAAGCAGGTCTCATGTTTCACTCATGGTCTCATTTAAGAGATTCAATTCCTCATGGTGAGTTCTTCTTTCTCTAGAGTTGTGCTCTTTGTGGCTGACCGAATAAAATGTCTTATATGTAGAAGATCATACATGTCACACTACACCAAACTGAATAAGCTGCATGCCACTGGGGGGACTGCTACCCACATTCTGAGTTTTATTTTCTTGATCTTGTGAAGGTAAAACAGATTTAGTCTGCCTTTTTCAACCAATTACTGTCATCGTATCCTATCCTACAATCTCCCATCTTAATTAGTTTGTTAGTTGGTTTCTTTTATTATTTCTAACATCTGAAGCCTGCTAATATTCTGTTCACTAATTCTTAAAATTTTGAATGCAAATATTAGGCTACTCAAGGCCCACATGTTTGCACTGAGCAAATTTCTAAGTGTTTAAGAGATCTGAAAACAGATACTGTACTGATTTCTGCTCACACTTTTTTTTAATCTGAAGAACAACAAAATAGAACCTTTAAACTACTCTAGCTAGAATTTGTAAAAATTAGGGGAAAGAAACCCCAATGTATATGCATTATAACAATACATACACATATAGTCCAGTTCTCTAAAATTAACTATAAAAGCACCAGCCTGTACTTTTTGTACAGAGTGGTCTTCTTGAAGAGCACAGCTCTTTGCAGAGGCTCTATAATTGGTACATTCCTCAAGAACAAGCGAACAAAATCACTTGAAAGAAGCATCACAGAAGGTTCAAGTAAGAACTTTCAAAGAAAGAAGGAATGTC